TATTTACCTTCTCTAAACCTCAATTTCCTCATCTATAAAATGGAGATAATAATATTGACATGACCTACCTCAAGGAAAGCATTTTCCTTGAAGTACTAGAGAAATGTCAGTTATTATGCATAATTATTGTCCTTTCAATGGGGGGGAGGGGCAGGATTGCACATGGTATGTAATAAGTGCTTAATAAATGCTTGTTGACTAAATGTCTGAAAGGGTCCTTAGAGCACAAAATGTCAGAACTGGGAAGGTCCCTAGAACACAGAATATCAAAGCTGAGAGGACCCTTAGAACACAGAATATCAGAGCTGGGAGGGCCCTTAGAACACAGAATGTCACAGCTGGGAGAGACCTTAGAACACAGAAAATCAGAGCTGGGAGGGCCCTTATAACACAGAATGTCAGAGCTGGGAGGGTCCTTAGAACACAGAATGTCAGAGCTGGGAGGGCCCTTAGAACACAGAGTGTCAGAGCTGGGAGGACCCTTATAACACACAATGTCAGTGCTATTAAGGACCATTGAGATCACTTCTAGAAGAAGTGATTTCCTCCGTCTCAAACATAGCTGCCCTTATTGTTCATTTTAATTAAAATTTAACTAAATTAGGGTTCCTAACCTGGGGTCCATTCATGTATATAAACAACTATTTCAATAGAATTGGTTTTCTTGGTAATCTATTTTGGTTTATACATTTAAAAACATTATTCTGAGAAGGGATCCATAGGTTTCATCAGCTTACCAAGAGGTCTATGACACAAAAAAGTTAAGGACCCTTGACCTAAAGAGAGAAGATGGAAACTGGGGAGGTTGCAAATGTTTTCATCTTTCTCATACCCCAGGGAAGCTAGATTGGGAGTTCTAGGTTCTAGGGAACAGGAGTAAGAGTAGAGGAGATCCTGTCAATGCTGACTTTTCTTGAATGAATGAATAAGAACAGGGCATTCAGTCATTCGTTCAAAAGCCTGTGCTAGGCCTAATGGTAAGCACTGGGAATACAAAGACAAAATTAAAAACAATCTTTGCCCTCAAGGAGCTTACAAATTCTCTGATGCATGGAACACTTTGGGAAACACATCTGGGAGGCTGGGAGCTGGACCCAGAGCCCATCAGGAGGGCAAAAATGTCTCCAAATTATTGGGAAAACCCATCCTGCCAGATGTGACTATGTTTGCTGCCCCCATATCCCCAAGCCTCCATTTCCCAGGCAGCTAACGCCTCATTCTATCTCACCTCCAGCCAGGGCTCACAGGCAAGTCATCACCAACCACCTCGGCCTGAGCTAGGCCTTCTGCAGCCCTGGTCTGCTCTATTCCTCAGCGACAGAACTAGGTCACTAGGCCAGGTTTCAGGATTTGTGGCTGCTTAGCCCCTCGCTGCCTGGCTCTTCCGGAGGCCCACAGGAGGTCAGTAAAGCCAACAGGATTAAAGCTGGAGGGAAATGGAGAGAGGGCCAGACTGCCAGGGCCTGGGCAGGCTGGATCTAGAGGTTCTGATGGGGGTGGGGGTAGAAAGGAAGGGTAAAGACAAAGTAGGGAAGCAGACAGTCATTACTAGGGAAGGATTTCAGGGAAGAGTGAGCATCCAAGAGCCTCTGGATGGACAATCAGGCCAGGCCTGGCAGCTGTTTTATCTTAATGTGATCCCTCGGCCAGATGTTGTGGGCTTCCAAGGGCTTTCCACAAGAAGAGAGTCTGAACTGAATGGCAGTGTGTGTGTGTGTGTGTGTGTGTGTGTGTGTGTATCTATCTGTCTGTGTGTGTGTCTGGGTGTAAAGTATGTGTGTATTTGCATTTGTGTGTTTTTGTGTGTCTGTGTGTATCTGGGTATAAAGTATGTGTGTATTTGCATTCATGTGTATGCCTAGGTATACAGTAGGTGTGTTATTTGCATTCTCGTATGTGTGTGTCTATATCAGGTATAAAGTATGTATGTATTTGCATTCATGTGCGTGTCTAGGTATATAGTAGATGTGCTATTTGCATTCTCGTGTGTGTGTGTGTGTGCGTGCGCGCACACATATGTGTGTGTGTGTATCAGGTATAAAGTATGTGTGTATTTGCATTCATGTGTGTGTCTAGGTATATAGTATGTGTGTATTTTCATTCGTGTGTGAGGTATGTGTACTGAGTGTAAACACAATATGTAGAGAGAGCATGCATGCATGTGGTGTGGATTAGCATGGTAGGTACAGTGTGGGGAGAAGGAATTGAGGTGGGATGTGTCTTCTTAGCCATCCATCTGTCTGCCTGTCTGCCATCCTTTCCTGGGGGCATCAACATTCTCTTACCCAGGAGGGAATGAGCTGGATGGGGCCCAGTAGGACAAACTGCCAGAAGCAAGCCTAGAAAGCTAAGAGTCATGGCTGCAGGCGCTGGCTTCCTGGGTACAGTCTGAACCATACTGGGGAGGAAAAAGAACTAGGGCCTAATCCTCCAGACCCTTGAAGGGGAAAAGGAGGGAAGGAGGGGGATATACCACAGGATCCTAGGATCTGGGACTGGAAGAGACCCCAGAGCAGGAGCTCTTAACCTGGGTTAGATTTCAAGGTGGACATGAACTTGGATGGAAAAAAATGATATCCATAAGACTCAAAGGTCATTTGCATAAGGCTCTCCTCATTGGTGGAGATTGATAATTATTCAATGTTCCTCTCCCATATGAGGAATGGAATTGTAGAGAGCTTGGGAGAGAACAGAGAGCCTGGTCTTCTGGTTCCACATATTTATTTTCACTCAGCTTTGGTTTCCTTTATGACTCTACGTTTTTATTTTATACATTGAAAAATATTATTCTGAAAAGGATTCCATAGACTTCACTGCCCTGTCAGAGGGGCCCAAGACACAAAAAAGGTTAAGAACCCCTGTCCCCTAGAGATTATTTAGTCTACCTCCTCCCTTCATTTTACAGATGAGGAAACTGAGTCTTAGAGACCTGACTTGTGCAAGGTTGCACAGCTAGTCGGTAGCAGAGCAGGGGCTGAAGTTGGGCATTCTAACTGTTTCTGTACCTTCCTCACCCCCCAAGGAAAAGGGCCAAAAAGACAGCAGTCCCTTGGGATCACTGTCCTCAAGGGAGGTCCCAGGTGACTCAAGCTTCCCAGTGCTCCCAGGAAGTTCACATCTCAATAAATATCCAGTTCAAACTACATTTATACATCCCTTATCCTGGAGATACAAAGGGAGCTATGACAAAGGTGCTGCTCTCAAGGGGCTTATATTCTAATGGGTAAAAAAGGCAGGCCAAGACCGATGATACAAGGGAGAGTGAAATCAGTGAAAGGGGACACCTAGGCCCAGGAGGTATTTGGGGAGAGGAGAGACACATCACTGTCATAGGGAGAAGAAGGGGGTTGGGAAAGGCACACAGAGAAAGTGAATGGGGAGGAAAGTATAGGAGTAAGATGGAGGGAAGGAAGAAAGGAAAAGGGAGGAGTAAGAGGGGAAGAGAGAAAAGGAGAAAAGAGATGGGGATAGAGAATACAATGAAGAGGAAGAATGGGGGTGAAGGGCTGATAGAGAGGAGATGGGGAAAAGAGAAGGAGAGGGCAAGGGAGATAGAGAGAGAGAGACAGAGGGGATGGGGAGAGAGCTGGGATGAGGATGAAGGGGATGGGGAAAAGAGAGGGGTTGGGAAAGAGAAAATGGATAGGGAAGAGAAAGAGAGGGGATGGAAGAAAGATATAGATAGGGGATAGGGGACAGAAGGGGACGGAATAAGAAAGAGAAAGGGAAAGAAAGAAGACTGGATGGGAAAGATGGAGCGGAGGCAGAGGAGTGATAAATAGTGGAGGAAGGAGACTAGAAAGGGAAAAGCTTGGGGTATGAAAGATTAGGCTGCCCAAACAGAAGGATCCAGGTAGGTAGAAAACTGAGAAAGTGGAATAGGGAAAAGGAGAGTTGGGGAAATTAGGGACAGCACCAACCAGAGGGGCAGGGAACAGAGGGCGAGGGAGGGGAAAGACAGCCTGAATGGGAGGGACCCAGGTCCCACGTCCGCACTTCCCGCCTGGGCACGCAGAGGGTGAGGAAACTGGAAACCCCTCCTAGCAACAAACAACTTGAGCAGTGGAAAATATTTTTTTTTTTCTGAGAGCTGGCTCTCCTTAGGGCTGGCCCAGCGCATACTGAGGGTCCTAGGCCAGGGTGAGGGCAGGGGACGGAAAGAGAGAGAGAAGAATGTCAAAGGCTGGGTACTTGTCACTGGCTGTTGGTCACACTCTGCTTCTCTACTCTTCCTCCCTGCCTCAGTCTTTCCTTTCCAGTCTCCCTCCACCCTCTCCTCACCTCCTGTCCCTCTCTTCTCTTCCTGCCTCCTTCTTTCCCCCTCTCATCCTTTCCCTCCTCTCCCTCTCTCTTTTCTACTTCTCATCTTTCTCTCGCCTCTTCTTCCTCCCTATCTCCTTCCCCTGTCTTCTCTCTCTCTTCCTTTCCTTCCTCTCCCTCTTCTTCCTTTTCTTTCCCTGCTTCCTCTCCCTTTTCTCTTCCCTATTTCCTTTCCTCCTCCTCTGATTTTCTCTTCTTTACCTTTCATCTTCTGCCCTTCCCCTCTCCCTTCTCTCACCCATTTCTTCCATCTATCCCTCCCTCATCTTCCTCTCCTTTCCCTGAATTTTCTTCTACCTTTTTCCCCCTCTCTTCTCCCTCCTTCCTCCACCCCAGTCTCACTTTCCTTTCTCTCCCCTCTTTCCCTCCCTTCCTCCTTATCTCTCCTTTTCTTTCCCTCTTCTCCTCTTCTCTCCTTTTCTCTTTCTCCTAGGCTCCTCTTTTCCCTTCTCCTTCTCTCCTCTCTTTCCTCCCTCTTCTTTCTCTTTTCATCTTCTCTCTTTCCTTTTCTTTCTTCTCCTTTCCCTCTCTTCTTCCCTTTCTTTCCCTCCCTTCTCAGAGTAGAACACGGGGCCCAGGAAGGCTGAGTAGAGGGTGAGCTTTGAGCCTCCCCTCGCTGCTCAACTCCCCCCCCCGCACCCCCCCACGTAGCAGACCCTCCCGCCGGCCAGCCTCCCTACCTCTCATGCTGCCGGCTGGCCGCTTACCGCCCCTTCTGGAGAATGGACTCTCAGGGACGAACTGCTGGGCAGAGAGCTGGGCCGGGGCTCACGGTTGGCTCTCGGTCTCGCTTCGGTCTCCTGGACTGTCGCTCCAGCGTCCCCCACCTCTTCCCTCCCAGAGCCCGGCCCGACCCGGCCCGGCTCGGCTCCAGGACTCTGCTAACCTACTTTCCCGGAGCAGAGGTGGCCAATGTAACATGTGGAAATTCACATGATGGGCCCGGCTCCGGCTGCTCCGCCCCAGCTGTCAGCTCCGGCCCCGCCCCCCAAGACCCCGCCTCACCGTCTGCCCCCGCCCACCTGGTCAGTTGCCCACCCCTCCCGGCCCCGCCCACTTGCCAGGGACAGTTTAACTTTTGGTCTCCATTCCAAAGGCACCAGAGTCAGTCATCCCTAGGAACTGTATGATTTAAAGGGGAAGAGGTCCTTAGGTCATCTACATCTCCCATTCCACAGGCGGGGAAACTGAGGCTCAGAAATGCGATGTCGGGATGAGACTGCCTGACGTCAAGCTGCTAGTATAGGTCAGAGCTGGAACATGCTTCTTTGATTTGGTTCCGCTGAAGTCCAGTGTTCTGTCCTCTGCAGCTAGTGGCCCTTCTCAGGGAAGTCCCTGAGGCATTCAGACAGAACCCCACCAGCCAATGCTGTCTCACTCCCACACTGGGCCCCTACTCTTTACCACTCTTCCTCCTTAGTTCAATTGAGGGTGAGGCCATGGAGCAAGGCAAAGGGCCCTGTACTGAGGGGCAGGAGGCCTTCGTCCTACTGCCAGCTCTGCCGCTGACTCTCCCTGTAACTCTGCACAAGAAACTTCCTTTCTCTGGACCTCAGTTTTCTCGGATGAATAAGAACAAAAATCTTGACTGGGGTGGGGAACCTGCAACACTTGAGGAACTAGAGGGCCACATGTGGCCTCGAGGCCTCAGGTTTCCCACCCCAGAAATTCTTAACTCTTCTGACCTTCCCATTTGGTTGAGGAATGCCCTTTTTATAAACTGCAAAGGGGGCAGCTAAGTGGCATAGCAGATAGAGCACTGGTCCTGGAGTCAGGAAGAGTTGAGTTCAAATCAGATCTCAGACATTTATTAGCTGTGTGATCCCGTGCAAGTCACTTAACCCGAATTGCTTTCCACAAACAATGAATAAATAAAGTGCAAAGGCTTCCCACAGAAGCAGGCAGATATTGAGAGAATGCATTGTAATCAGGAAACCTGAGTTCAGGTTTGTGAGTCAGTCCCTAGATGTGAAGGCTGGGAAACAAGCATCTTTTCCCTCCCTACCCTAAGAAAACCTATCCCTTTTTCTCCCTAAACACCATGCCTCTTCCCATAATCTACTGGCTTTTCCTATTTTAATGTTTCTCTTGGTTTCTGGGGATTTTGTGTGCATATATATGTGACCTTGGGCAAATCAGTTTACCTCTCTGGCATCAGCGTCCCCCTGTGCAAAATAAAGGGGTTAGATTTAGACATGGCCCCTCCCAGCCCTCACACTGTAAGAACTAACTCCCTCTGAGCTGTCATTCTGTGTCCTCTAGGCCTTTCCCAACTCAGACATTCTACCATCTTCAGAACTCTGATTAGGTGTGAGCTAATATTTAGGAGTCTTGCAGAGAAAAGGACTTAACAGATATTTTGAGGAAGGAGAAAGAGGAAGGGATTTAGGGGATACTGGGGTTGGCGTGGAGCTGGGGAGACAATTGGATTTCTTCCTCTCCTTTCATAAGAAATCAGGACACAGGAAATTGTTACTTCCAGATACTTCCTTCTGCCTCCTCTCCTTACCACTCCACCCCCACCCCACCCCAAGCCTGAGCAGGTGCTGTGTTCCTTCTTTTGACCACTTGATCCTTCTTGGAGAACAGAGGGTTCACTTAATCCTCCGATCTGTGGGATTTACTGCTCTGGCCAACCCCCCAGAGTAGGATTGGGGGGTCGGATCTCAGCTTTCCTTTTTCCCAAAGCTCTCCCCAGGCCTGGCTCTCCCGGCCTTTCCCCATTCATAGCCTTGGGGCTTTCTCACGGCCCAGCAGGGCCCGGCATTTCATTCTGGCCAATTCTCAATCCAAATGCAGCTGGATGTTTGCCTTCCCTGAAAAATCCTTACCTGATCTATATGCTCTTCTCGGTGGGCCTTTTAACCCCTGACTTCCCTTTGTACTGATGGCTCAGATTAGTACTACATTTATCTCCAGCTCTCAAAAATTCAATTAAATTGAACAGTGAGTTTTATGTTGTTCTTTAGGTAATGTACTGTGCTAGGAGGAAAGAAAGAAAGAAAAAGAAAGAAAGAAAGGAAGGAAGGAAGGAAGAAAGAAGAAAAGAAAGGAAGGGAGGAGGGAGGGAAGGAGAGAAGGAAGGAAGGAAGGGGAGAAAGAAGGAAGGAAGAGGAAAGAAATGAAAAGAAAATCTCTGCCCTCCAGGAGTTTACATTCTGCTTGAAGGAGGGTACAGGGATAAATAAACACATAGTACTTTCAGGAAGGATAGAGACTAGAGTTGTCATTTTGATGCTGCAGTAGATAGATCCTGGGGCCTAGAGTCAGGAAGACCTGAGTTCAAATCCAACCTCAGACACTTAATGGCTGTGTGACCCTGGGCAAGTCACTTAACCTCTATGTGCCTCAATTTTCCAATTTCAAAATGAGGATCATAATAGCATCTATACCCCCCAGGGTTGTTGTGAAGATCAAATTAGATAATATTTGCAAAGTGCCTGGCACATAGTAGGTGCTATAGAAAAGTTAGTCATTATTACTTCATTAGTGTAGATCAAATCTCTTATTCCATTAGTATTATTGGGAATTTCTGAATTAGGATATCACCTCTTCAGTAACCTATAATCTTAGAGCTGTGTGGAACTGTGTAAGGTCAAACTCAAACAGATAAAGGATCCCTGCAGGCTACATATTGACTTAGAAAACCACAAATTAACATTATCTATGTTGTATTATACTTCTGTTTATTCTATAAAGCCTTGGATTGTACTTGAGGGTTTTGTCTGCTGCTTGCTGCAGTGGATTATGAGTTAGATGCCTCTGGTGTGGAGCATTGGGAGGTTAAGTGCTTTTACTGGTTATGTAACTAGGATGTGTCAGAGACAGGTCTTGAATGGAAGCCAGCTCCGCACCCAGGAGGCCTCCACTGCTGAGACCAGACGTGGCACCTGAGCTGAGCCTTGAAAGGAAGCCAGGGGACTCTAACAGAATGAGATGGAGAGGGAGCACATCCTAGGCACAGAAGACAGCCCCAGCAAAGAAAGACAGGGAGGCATGTCAGAATGACAGCAGGTACACAGAAAAGTGAATATAAAATAGATAAAAAGTAAATATGAGATAACAGATTACAATGCTTTCTAAATCTTAAAGCACTAGTTATTATTATTAACAAATAGAAAGAAATTGGGAGGCAATAGGAACTAGGAGGGTCAAAATGCCAAAATGATACTTTAAGTTTTTTTTCTTTTTCTAGGTCAATTTTATTTTATTTTATTTTTTTCCAATTACACATAAAGACAATTTTTAACATTCACTTTTTAAATCAAATTTTGAGTTCTAAATTTTCTTTTTCCCTACTTCCCCTCCTTCCTCCCTAAGAGAGTAAACAATTAGATATAGGTTATATATGTGCAATTGTATAAAACATATTTCCATATTAGGATACTTTAAAATTTTGAGAGGAGAAAGAGGTTTAGAACACTTGCATTACAGTCAGGGGGATATCCCAGGCAAAGGCAAGTAATAGCTAGCATTTATATAGTGCCTCAAGATTTGCCAGGTATCCCAATTGCCTCACAAAAAAAAAAAAAGATTTGCCAGGCACTTTGCAAATATTATCTCACTTGATCCTCACAACAACTTTAGGAGGAAGGTGTTGTTAGTGTTAGCCTCATTTTACAGATGAGGAAACTGAAGCAAACAGAGACTCTGTGACTTGTCCAGGGTCACACAACTAGTAAGTGTCTGAAGATGGATTTGAACTCGTCTTCCTGAGGTCTAATGTTGGATCCACTACCTCACCTAGCTGCCACTCAGTGAAGTAGGGAGATGTAATGTCATGGCTAATAGGCCAGTTGAAGAGGGCTGAAGGATATGTGAAAAGAAACAGTGCCCAACAAATCTGGAAAAAGTCTGGAGCTTGATTGCAAACAATAAGCACTTATTAAGACTTTTTATATGCCAGGCATCTTGCAAAGGGCCTTTCAATGTTAAACAAAGAACTTGGGGCAGCTAGGTGGTGAAGTGGATAGAGGACCTGCCCTGGAGTCAGGAGGACCTGAGTTCAAATCCAGCGCCTGTCCGACACTTAACACTTACTGGCTGTGTGACTCTGGCCAAGTCAGTTAACCCCTAATGCCTCCCTCAAAAAAAGAGTTGGTAGCTAATAGCAGAGTTGATAAGAAATCCTTGGGACTTCTTGAGTTGTGCTTTAGGGATATAAATTTAACATTTGTGTGGAAGATGGAGACAGAGAGACCAAATAGGAGGCTATTGTAATAATCTGGTGCAGAGAGGTGATGATGAACTGGGTATTGGCTGCCTCAGTGGAGAGAAGAGGACAGATATGAGAGGTCAAGGAGAAGCAGAATCCACAAGACTTGGCAACTGATTGAATATGAAAGGCAAGAAAGAAGAAAGAGTACAAGAGGACTTCAGAGTTGGGAGCCTGGGGGGCCAGAAGGACAGTGGTACCCTCAGCAAGAATAGGGAGTTTTGGAGGAAGAATGGATTTGATAGGTCAGGGAATGTAACAAATTCCATCTGGAGCATGTAGAGTTTGAGACAATGATGAGAAATCCAGTTGGAAATCCTCAATAGAAAGTTAGCAATGCAAGACTGGAATTCTGGAGAAAGATTAGGGCTAGATATATAGGTTTGGGACATCTCTACATTGAGATGATAACAGAACCCATGAGAGCCAATAAGAACATCAAGACAAAATAAAGAAAGAACAGGGTCCAAGCTGGAACCTTGGGGTACACACTAATAGTCAGAGGAGTGATATGGGTGATCAACTAACAAAGGAGACCAAAGTAGAGTAATTGGAAGCATGGAAAGAGAACCAAGAGGTCCCAATGTCATGGAAGCC